AACAAAAAAAAAAAGGTATGCCACTCAAAATCCCTCCCTACTACTTCCTGTGTGTGTCTTTATGTCTACTCAATGACCTCTGATGCTCTATGATTACTTTCTGTCAACTAGTTGCTAACTCAGCCGCCTGACCCAAGGTTAGTTTTATTTAATCAATGCAAATGCAAACTTGGGGTTCACAGTGTGATCAAATATCCCCCAACATTCCCCCCTTTTGGCTAAATAAAAAGGAAAGGTGTTAACCTCAACACAGTAAAACTACGTACAATAAGAACAATCATCAAGTAAGGATTACATTCACAATGTCCAGTCTATTTGGCAAATTCAAAGAAACTGCTATATTATCGACCCTATCTTGGTTAGTCCAAATTTTGGTACTTAATTCACTTTCTATCCTAACTTGTATTACCAACCCAAAACTATCTTTTTAGACCTCCAAAACATTTTCTTAGATAAACAATTTAAGCTTTTATGTCTCTCCACCTTGTACACATTATACCTCTTTTGTGAGTTTCTTTTCTGAATTTAGTAACAAAGAAAACTGTAACTGTAACTATCTCAACTTCAAATCCATCAGATACCTGAGAAGGATATAATATTACCCAAATAAACAGGAAGTAAAGAGCAAACATCTTTCAAAACCATAGAACTATTAGGATATAGCATTACCTAAGTAGCCAGGTGGTTGGTGTAGGAGGTTCTTCTGTTCATATGGTTGCTTTCATTGGTTAATGAATACAGAAACTGCTTTGGGCACGATAGGACAGAACTTAGGTAGGTGGGGAAGACAGAACTGAATGCTGGGAGGAAGAAGTGCAGAGTCAAAGTCGTCATGGATCCTCCGCCTGAGATGGATGCCGGTTAGAATCTCCAGGAAAGCCAATGCCACGTGGTGATACATAGATTAATGGAGATGGGTTAAACTAATATGTAAGAGTTAGCCAATAAGAAGTTAGAGCTAATGGCCAAGCAGTGTTTTAATTAATACACTTTTCTGTATGGTTATTTTGGGTATAAGCTAGATGGGCAGCCGGGACAAACAAGCGGCCCCTCTCTCCTTATAACAGGTGGTGGTGGCTCACACCTTTAATCCCAGCACGTGGGAGACAGGGGCAGGCAGATCTCTGTGAGTTCGAGGCCAGCCTGGTCTACAAGAGCTAGTTCCAGAACAGGTTCCAAAAGCTACAGAGAAACCCTGTCTTGAAAAACAGAAGCAACAACAACAAAAAAATTCCTAAGTAAACAAGAAGTACAGAGCAAACCTCTTTCAAAACTATAGAAATGACAGAAGCAGCTGACTGCAACATTGTGTCATCTATCTTTGGCCTAGAGGTCTGGATATATGATAGACTTTTCTGTGAAGCAGGAATTTTGAAGGACTTGTTTTACCCTGTCTTGGCAAAGCTCAGCAGTCACTTTATTTTGCATCCTGAACATCTAATTTGGACAGAATACTGTCAGTAGTGAAGGCAAGGGTAGTTTCTTACATAGTGGCTAACTTTGACACAACTCCATGTGGAAGTTCTTTGATTCCCATCATCCTTTTTTTTTGAAGCAAATTAGTACTGCTAGGAGCATGTCTCACTCTCATAAAAAAAAAAAACAACTTAAGTTATTAAAACATCTTAAATGCTATATCTGTAAGCCTCAGAAGTGTTTGAAGACCATTTACTGTCTAAAATATATCCCTGTTTAACCTCGAAAATATAACTAATATGACTACAAATTTCATTATTATAGATGACTAACTACTAACCTGTATTTTTAAATTATACATTACATTTTTAATGAGCTTCATAAGTACAATACCTACTCTACAAGAGTAGAAATATATATACAGCATAACAAAAATAACCTTAAATTTTGTATCACTACACAAAAATCCATACCAATGTAAAATATTTGAGATTAATAGTTGCCTTTTAAACAATAATCAACTCCCTTATCCTATCCTTTCCAGACTTCCAAATAAAGATTAATCTGTAGTTTGCTTTTACATAAATAGCCAAGGGCAAATAGCCAAGACCTTCTTGAAGAACATGAAGAAACATGGGTAGCAAGGTAGCTATAGGTCCTGACAACAGTCTTTGTGTAAAGACAGCATACATTAGGTTCTACCATGCAATGTAGCTCCTCTCTGCAGAGCTCCGAAATCTGTTCATAGGTGCATCAGGAGACAGGTAGAGAGCAATCCTATCCGTACCATTTGCAAAGCAGAAAGAAGACTGGGTACATTTTCCAAGGTTAATTTCCTGGCTCTGCTAAGGTTCTGTGGTTATATAAGATGTTATTGTGGGGCTGTTGGATGAAGAGACACAGAAACTTCCTGTACTATTTTCTGAAACCTCTATGCTAGTCTAAAATTATTTCAAGCTTTAAAAACTGGACACATTTTGCTGAAAATGGTTTGAAAATTGGGGCAGACAGTGGAATATGAAGCAGTCGTGGGAACACAAGACTCTGCTCTATGCACCGACAGGAACCCTGGGAGCGTAACGAGGAGGAAAGTGCAAGTCATGACACAGAGTTTGAAATGTGCACTCAAAAGACTCACAGGAAACGGAAGTGCCGAGATGTACGTCTAAACAGACTGCACCTGAAAGAAAAGCCATAGTTGGGGGCTCGGGGGTTAAGGAAGGAAGAAAGTGGGGGAAACCCCCCAGGGCATTGGGAATATTAGGAGACAGGTATGTGCTCCTAGTGGTGACAGTTTTTCTGTGTTCCTCATCCCTCAACAAATGGCCCAGAAAGACGCCTTGCAAAAGAAACTCTCTCTAGTGGGGCTGCTATGTCAAGGCATATCGTGGCTGTTTTTTCTGTCACATGGGAAATGCCTGATATCCCAGGACAGAATATCCCTAAGAGACAAAGGGATGAAAACGCAGAGAGAGACTTGGACTAGATCAGACTCTTCGTGTCTTGAGGCTAAGATTCCCACAGCATGAAGACCACACTGTGTGTACCAAGTACTGCCCAGACTATAGGAGCCAACCCAGCTTTTGCCATCTGACCTAGAAGTAGCGTCATCAGAAGAATGCTGCAATGCATTCTGGTCCATGGTTACCCCAGTTGTACTTGGAGCTAAGCCCCATGAGCTATCTCAGAGGCTTAGAGGTGCCCAGAGGTCTTCTGCTCCATTCCTCCTTCCCAAATGCCCTCCACACCCTACCTGTGTGTGAAGGACCAGATATTCAGAGAGACGGTACAGGATCAAGTGATCAGAGAGGGGTGGTCAGGGCTGAGCTAACCTTGCCCAGAAGACCATGCTTTCTCTCACACACTTTAACTTGCTGTCTCTGGCCTCAGTGATGTCTTCAGGCCAGCATGAGAGGGTGAGGGGAGATAGTACCAGCAAGGAGGTGTGGAGTGGAGGATGTGACCTCCTTGGATGTCTTGATTTCCATTGGCCTTTACTCATCGGCAGAGAGGACTGTGGCTGAGGAGTATTTGCAGGGATGCCCAACCTCTTAATATGGATACACAGCATTGCCATCTACAAACCTCACCCTGGAGAACCAGGAAATGAAATCAACAGCAACAAATTGCTAAGAAATAAAAATAAAAAAACCCACCCCAATATCTCATGTTTTACGTATGATAACAATACTGTGTTGGTCAGCATTCATAGCTATCCTGCATGACAACTGGCCTGTGGACAGAGGGTTGGACTGTCCTTGCTTGGTGATCCTGAGATGGCAGCAAACTCAGGGCTCAAGTTGGGTGGAACCTGGGAGAGTTATGCTGTCTGGTGGCAAACACAGCATGCTTATATCCCAGGGGCATGATCTTCAACCCCAGGCCCTGTAAACCATGAGAATACAACAGTTACAATGATTGGGGTTCTAGACATTAGTTTGAGCTTCAGCAACTCTACCCTAAGCTCTGAGTGAGGTCCTTCAGATTCCAGATGGAGTCTCAGCTGCCGCTTCCATGGTGGTTACTGTGAGGGCTTAACAAGCGGTGGGAGACTGCAGTGAATATTCCCTGGGAAAATTCACAAATTTACGGTAGGCATGGGGCACATTCGCTCCTGGCTCTGTGTGTAGCATACACCACAAATTCCAAATAAGCATTCCCTGAAGGCCAGAGGTCAAGACGAGCAGGCAGCAAGAGAGAAAGAGGGGGCTTCGTAAGGCCTCTATTAACTGGATGTTTTAGACTGGGCTGTCCTGTGAGTGCGTCTAGTCCTAGTGTCTACCCTTTGCTCTCACCCTGTTGTGTGTGTCCAGAAAGCAGAGATGAATAGGGGGTTTCCCTTGTGTTCTCTTGGAGCTCATTATACAAATAAACATAAATAACAGGGCAAAAGAGTGAGTTGGACTGGTGGTCTCAGGGTCGAGAAAGGCTGAGCACTGTCCTGGTGTTAGTGGAGCTGGCTTCCACCAAGCCTTCTCTTCCATGGAGTAGATTAGGATTCAAACCAGTGGGTTTGCCTCAGGCACGTCCTGTGAGGGCGTCTTCTCTCCCACGGGCCAGACCTGCTGGGGACACCATAGACCCCTCCCAATGAAGAGTCTGAGCCTAGATGGAAGGGCGAGCTAGAGGTGACCAGGGGCGACAGAGGAGCCCCACCCCGGTCTGCGCCAGGTATTCTCACGTCTTCCTACTAGCCACTATACCATGCACTGGCCCTTTCCTTCCCGCCTGTCCGACCACTACTCTCCGTATCTGTGCCTGAGACGAAGGAAGGGACCCGCATCCAGGTGTCAAAGACCAGAAACAAATGTCCCCCCTCACCACGTCATATCTTTTTTTTTTCTAGGTGGGTGGGGGAAACAGAAGTAGCCGGGCAAGCAAGCCGCTCCGATGCGGGGGTAGGGTGGGGTCGGGGGCGCCTCTCGTAAGCACAAGGCGAGGTGGTTCTCCCAGGCGGGTTGCGGCGGTTGGGGAGGGGGGTTGGCGCACGCCCCCCAAGCCCCGCAAGCCCACGGGCATCGCATGACATCAGATGCCGGGGAGCTCGCAGAGCGCAGGCGCGGGCGGAGCAGGCGGGCGGGAGGGGGCGCGTGGCGCTGCTGGGGAGAGCGCTCCTCCGCCCAGCTAGGTCCCTGCGCCCCGCTCCACCCGTGCCTAGCTGCCCGCGCCGAGCCTCGGGCGTCCACAACGCGACTGTCGCCCGTGCAGCCAGCGCCGCCCTCGGCTGCGCCGCACACCCTGCCTCCTCCCTTTCCGTCGCCGCCGTCGGACACGCAGCCGCAGGCCGGGGCCGGGCCGCAGCTGGGGAGTCAGGGGCGCGCGCAGCCAACCCTTCCCCCTTCGGCTCCCGCACCGCTCGCCGCCTCCCCTCGCCCTCCTACTCTCCCCTCCCTGCTCCTTCGCCGCTTCCTCCTCCTCCTCCTCCTCTCCGGGCCCCAGCTGCCAGCACCATGTCCGCAGGGGGAGATTTTGGGAACCCGCTGCGAAAATTCAAGTTGGTGTTCCTGGGGGAGCAGAGCGGTGAGTACTCGGTTTATTCTCTCGGCTCGGAGCCGAGTGCTTTCCCCATGCCGCCCATTCAGTCACCCCACTGGGGACCCTCCCAGCCCCGGCTCACCAAGGCCCTTCCACGCCCGGGCGGAGGAGGAAAGGGATGCAGATGGGGAAATGGGGCCGGGCTCGGGTGGGGCCGGGCTGGGGAGGACCCGGGGTAAAGGATGGAGGCGGCTCCAGGGTCAGGGGATGAGGGTGAGGGTGGGATCTGGCTTGGGGTCCCCCGTGCAGGTGCGTCCTGGAGGACCGAGGGCGTCGGCTAGCACAGTGGCTCTAGGCGCCGGGCTCGCGGGCTCGCTGACTAGCTCGCACTGCGGCACCGGCTGCGGAGCACGGTGCAGGTGTCTGGGTGCTAGGGAGGGTGTGGGCGAGGGGACAGGAGCCTCTTTTGGGAGAACGAAGTGGGGCTAGGGGCTAGTTGCCCCCACCCCAATAAGGTTGCGCCCGAGGGGTTCCCTGTGGACCCTACCCGGAACCAGAGGGAAGGACAAGTCCAGCCCCGAAGCAGATGGCCGCTCGGGAATGGGGGACACGACACCTGTCCCTTTTCGAAAAGAGTGGGCGCAGGTGGTAGGGGAACAGAGTGCTTAGCTTCCCTGGCTTACATCTGACTGAGAAGGTTCTAGACCCACTGTCCTTCGCTAATGCATTAGCCTCTTTGGGGCTCAGGGGTGTGGACCATGAGAGTGAAGATTCTCTCCATAGCAGGTGACTTGGGGGATGGTACAGAAGCGTCTCATATCAAGGAGCTTGGCACTGGGCAGAGAAAGGCCTAAGCGACACGCCCTGCCTGGCTTCCCTGCCCCCTCCAGAGAGCATCATTGAAGCCGGTGGATTCTCCCACCCCCATCTCCCAGCTCACCGCCCTTCTTGGGGGAGGGGAGGTCACCGTGACAGCCAGCCAGAGCAGAAGGAGGGGGAGACTGAGGGTTTCTTTGCTGTCCAGGAGCCTCCCCACCCCAAGTATCTGAAACCCAGGTTGGTCCAAGGTGGGAAGCCCAGATGGAAGAGCAGCGACCCCTCTGATACCTGTAGGAAGGTGTGGCTCCATGAACCTCGGTCCAGGAGCCTCATCACCATCACCAGGGGGTTACAGAGACAAGCTAGGCTCTGAGCATTTCTGCTGGAGGAGAAGAGGATCCCCAGGGGGCAGGATCTCTGGCTCTGGCTCTGTAAACCAGTCCTGTTAGCTGGTTTAGAGTCCAAGAGAAGGAAGGCTGTGGGAGGACCTGGTGGGCTCAGGCACAGTGCAGCTATGACGTGTGTGCGTGGGCTGTGGGGGTCACATGGCCACCTTCTGTCTGTTGATGCTCTCAGTACCTGACATGGAGGGTTGGGATCAGAATGGAAGACGTGGTTGCCTGTCCTGGAGAACTGGGTTTGGAACATTTCAGATCCAGACCAGCCCAGCTAGGTAGTCAGCCGGCTCTGATTTCCAGTCCTTCTTAGATCCCAGTGTCACAGAGGACACCTCCGTCCCTGCTGTGTAGAAAGGGTTTGGATGCACCTCAGCCCTAGGAGGGAACCTGCAGGTGTACAGCATCCTTGAGGTAGAAGTCTCAACTATATTGTCTTTTGCCTAATTTGAGGCCTCTCAGACACTCAGTTTCTGTCTCTGAAAAATGGCTGGCTTGAAGGAGCCCGTATGCCTCATGTTTTCCTCAGTGCCTGCACTATGCTCAAAGAATTTTGTTTATTCCAAGTCTGAACACAGTTCCATAAAGAATCATATGTGGTGGATTTGAATGAAAACTCTGTTTCCTTAGAAACACTGCTGATGGGGGAAACCCCTGCTGAGAGTTCTGCCAATTCCTCCCCCCTTTGCAGGTCAGAAGTCACAAAAGTGAGAGTCTGCCTTTGCCCCAATGCTTCTGTGGAAAGGAAGCACCAGGGAATAGGGAGGGTTTGCCTGGAGACCCGTCGTGAATTGTGAGCACTTTAGGAGCTGGAATCCACATTTTCACTAGCCTGTCACTGGGAAATAAGATGACCTTCAATGGGGGAAGCCACATCTGGAACCTCTTAGAAAGGATATAGGGGCTCATGGATAGTTTGGGTGGCCTAGAAAGAATGCTGGACTAGTTAGCTGGGGGTAGAGTTCATGGGCCCTTGGAACATGGTCCATCAGTGAGATTAATTGCTAGCCACCTTGATCCTTTCTGGCAGACAGCCCAAGCTCCTGAATAGTTAAGTTCCGCTTAGCTGTGTCATTAGTGAGTTGTTTACCTCAGCTTTACAGAGCCTTTGGTGTCTGTGAGTTGCAGAGGTTATGTGTATCCCCAAGCCCGAGCGGTGTTGCCTTACCTATGCATGCTTTTGCATGCTAACATCCTTTGCAGCCTGTGCTGTGGAGGGAGGCTCCTGAGGTCTGATCCAAACCCTACCCTAGGTCTCCCTTCTTCTGTGATCTTGCAGGCCCCTTGCCTTCCATACCAGGGCACTTGAACCCGCTGAACTCTGAAGCATAAGCTTGCCTATCTGAGCTGGGTCTGCTGGTGGTGGGGGAGGGGAAATACAGACATCTCCTGATCTCTACTCCTGGCAATATTGTGGTATGCTCTAGACTGGTGGGCAGAGATACCTGAACTCCAAAGAGGAGGGTCAGCCTTGGAGCAGGGTAAGGAAGAAGATACCCTGGGGCAGATAATCGCAGGTAGGCGTGATGCCTTCAGAGGTACCAAGGAACTGGCTGAAATGGGAAAGCTTTGAGTGCCCCGTCTCTGGAACACACCTCCAGCCTGGAAGAGAGCGTGACAGCAGAGTGAATGTTATCACATGACCGATGGACTATAGCCTGGCTGGCAGTACCAGCCCCGCCCGGGGTAGGGGCCTCAGTGGACGCTAGGGGACCTAGGGCAAGGTATTTCTTTGCATCAGGGAGGCCATTCAGTCCCGTTTGTGCTCAGGAAGCTGTTTGGGTCTTCCTGACTCATCCTAACATGGATGACAATGGCGGGGAACACAGGAGGGTGACACACACCAGGCTGGTCCACGACCCTTGGTAGCATCCAGAAAAGACAGACAGGCACAAATGTCTGAAGGGGAAGTGGACCTGAAGGGTTTCTGTCTTCCTCCCAAGTTATCATAGCCTTCAAGGGCATCTGAGCCTTTCCAGACACATCTTGTTGTGTGTGGTGAGGAAAGGGGGAAGAAAGAGTGGACGGACATGAGGCAAGCTGTCTGCTGTCCCAGGCTGAGGTCAGTAGGCCAGCCTGTGCATCCATAGGCCTGAGTGCAAGGACAGGAAGAGATTTCAGAGAAGCTCCCTTGCTCCCCTTCCTCTAGCCTGCTCGCCAGAAAGCATAGGTGGAGGCACAGGATGTCAAGAGCGACCCTAAGGGATCTGGCTTGCTGGCGCCCAGTAGAGACTGACCCCCACTTCCTCCAGTTAAGGGTTAAGGACAAGCTGCCCACAGGCTCAGCCCTGTTCCCCGCAGCCTCCCTACCCACCAGCACACAACTGCCCTTCACTAGCTTGGTGATGTGCCTGCTGCTGCCCTTCCAGAAGCTTTCTCCTTCTTTCAGTTCCCAGGCCTGCCTTGCCACAAATGGGCACAACTTGGATTTTTTTTTTAAACAAGTACTTAAAAAAAAAACAGTTGGTTATGTTTTATCCCATGACCCCCTCTTCTGTTGTTTCAGTTAGCTAAGGATTTTAGGATGCTCATTAACCCTTTGGGGTACCCAAATTCTGGGAGGCCAGAGCACTTCTAGAGGATTGTGTCTTAGTCATCTCCTGCCCACTCCGCCCCATCTGTGGGCTGTGTGTGCTCACCAAATATCTTGATTTGAAGATGACGACATCCCTGATGTGTGAGATTTGATGATGGCCCGTCGGCAGATTAACAGTGAAGTAGTCAAGGCAGCTTCGCGCAGCTTCCGTTCATCCTGGCACTTGCCGTTTTCTCGTGCCAGAACTTCTTACCAGGGACACTTGGAAGGTTTTTTTTCTTCTTAAGGGAATTTCCTCAATGTGCCGTGGTCATGCGCAGTCCCCTGAGATTCTCAAGGATTTCCAGCTTTTTTTATATCTCTGAAGAAACCTGGGGGAGCTCCCATCTTAGCAGGGTCAGGAAGGGCATGTCAGACCAGAGCAGTTCTCTTGGGGACCTGGACTAAACCACCAAGCTCTTCTGTGCCTCAGTGCTCATCTTACTTTCTTTTTTTTCCTCTTAATTTTCTCTCTCCCTACCCCCTCCCTTGAATGATAATACCCGAGAGAGAACCTTGGATGTTGGGTACAGACTTAGAACCCTTGATTTCTGTTTGTTTCGAGAGGTGTGTAGAAGAGACTCACATAGACACTGAGAAGAGCGTACCAGTGTGCTTTGTGGTGCCGCACTGAAACACCCGAGTCAGGCTAGCTTTGTAAGGAAAGCAGGCGCCTTTAGCTGACACCGAGGAGTCAAGGACAGGGTGCTGGCAAGTGGCTCGGTTCTAGTGAGGCTGTCATAACAGATGACATGCAGTGCTGGAAATGATTGTGGGAGGGTGAGGTCACATTACCACAGGACGGTAGATGGCTTCCAGTCCTTTCCCAGTCAAGCTCCAGTGCACCAGAAACCTCCTAAAATGGTTCTTGTCTTTTTATTGGTGTGGACGATTGAGTGGGAATGGGGGTAGGGGGATAAGATGGTGGCCAAGGGTCTTATATAGTCCTCACTGGCTTTGAACTCCCCATGTTGCTGAGGATCACCTTGAGCCCTCCAAACTCCACCTCCTGAGTGCCAGGGATTGAGTGCAGGGCCTCGTGCCTGCTAGACTAAGCACTCTGCCATCTGAGCTAAATCCCCTGGTCCCACCCCTTAAAAGACCCACTACTACCCTAGGGACAAACCACGTCCGGACTGGAGACTGAAGACTATAGGCAACACAAGAGAAAAATGGCGTCAATAATGCCAAAGATAGACACAAGAGGATTTGCAAGTAGAGAGAAAATAAAGTGTGCTGGCTGTACCCTGTAGTGA